GAAGAAGGAAAAGTCACAGCAAACAAACAAAACTAAATCAACTAGCAAGTAAAGCATAAAGCCAAAGTACACAGTACATGTTTGTACAGCCCATTTCGTCCTTTATGTACGTTTGGCAGAGCAAAACATATCCTCAAGGCAGAGCAGAGAGGACAGTGAGACCGAGGAGAGGACCTCTTTTTGGAGGTATGAAATTCTGTATTTGGATCTAGAACTATGAGCAAAACAGTGACGGCTCTCAAGGAGGTCTATGACAGTAGTGAATAGAAAAAAGAAATGGAAAGGAAAAATTGTGTGAATTTTGTCCTGCATTTGTAAACCACAAAGCTAAGGAGACAGCAGAACATTTGTATCGATAGCTGGAGATAGGCCATGTCAAAGCCAAGAAAACAAAAAAAGAAAATTACAAAAAGGAGAAGAACCAGGGTGACTCATCTAATTCATAGCTTCCCCTTTTGACGTTCCTATATGTTTCTTTCTGAAGAGGAGGGAAGCCTACATAACTGTAAGGAGGAGCTGTAATCCATCAGGGGGTCCAAGCAGGTAGTAAATTAGCCCACAGGCTACTCGGGCTTTAGAGCTGGCTGGACTTTGGGTACATGATTATCCTGGAGGAAATACATGTTTATAATTTAGCTTCAGGATTAAAATAACCAGTTGGGGAGAGGAAAAATTAGGCATCGGCTGACAATAAAAGCCATCAGGACTCTGCTACACAGCATGAGTATTGGTTTGGTTATGTAAATACAGGCAACCAACATTGAGAACATTGACTTTAAGAATGGTGAGGAAACTTGGTGGTGCAGGTAAGGGCTTGAAGCTTTTTTATGGCAATGAACTACCTGCCTACCCTCCCTCTCCGTTTTGTCTTCTTTAACTTATGTTTACCTATTTCTTATAATCCATTTGTATTTGCACAATGTTTTAAAGTTATTAGATGGAAAGGAACTAGGAAGGAGGTTATTGTGTGAGTGTGGGTTGGTTTTTGGTGTAGCGTGTTCTTTTTTTTTTTTTTTTAAATGAAAGTGAAATGGGGCTGGAGTGTGGGAAATTCCTTCCCTGAGCAGTCACTTAACAAATTGGCCATTTTTCATCTATTTTGAGTGGGGGAAAAGACTGCAAAGAATTTTAAAGGAAAACACTGCAAAATGTTATTAATTGAAGAAAGATCTTTGGCCTTCATTATTCCAACCAATGAAAGCAAAATTCATGCATCATTATTTGAGATATTGTTTCCTAAAAAGGCTGCAACTAGTAAAACTAGACAGTCAGAAGATAAAGCAGGAAAACACTAAGGTATGGAAAAAACCAAACCCTGGATACTGCAACTCTGTCAACAGTCAACATTTCCAACACATGCATTTTTAATTTGCATTTCATTTAGGAACGCAAGATTTACTATCATGGTTTAACCATTAGTCAACTAAACCAAGGGGGATCCTAAATATTTCTTACAGAACAACACACATACACGCTCTTGGACCTTCTTCCTCCCTCTGTTCAGACTAGTCTTTGTATTACAACATACATTTATTTCATACATGCAGTGTTTACTGTAATACCATTGCAGTCTTACCAGTATTATGGCATCCGAGCCCGCAAGAGCGATGAGGGATTCAGACTGCCTGCTTCACAGTGCCACCAGAGCCTGCCTCCTCCACAGTCGAGAAAAGGAGGAATCTGCAATAACTGAGCTGGGCATCTACAACCAACAGCCTGAATGCTACTCAAAACATCACGGATTATCAGTACAGAAACATCTAGTCTGATCTCCAGTGTAACACAGACCACTCTTGAATTAACTTGTCTTTTAACTACAGCATCTGCAGAGAAATCCAGTTTGTATCTAGAACCAACAAGTGTTATATAATTACATTGATAAAAATGTTTGATCTGGATTTGTTCAGCCACAAAGGCCAACCAAGGAACCTTTTGAAGAAATTTCTATTCTCCATACAGCTGTTTGTGGGGAAAAAAAGCAAAAAAAACCCCTTGCTCTGTCTGGCTACTCTTTGTTAGACTAACTCATTTGTTAGACCAAATAAGATTTCGCTTGAGATCTTCAAGACCTATTCTGAATCTCCCATTTTTTTTTAATGTTTCACCTCTAATTCTCTTTCTCATCTCTCAGCTTGCTCCTTGAATTCTGAACAATAGAACTAAATATAACATCTGGGCACAACATAAAGAGATATTACCTAATTTTCTGTCCTACTAGCTATACCCTGCCTATGGTATCACTGCCCTTTTAGGCAAAGTACCACATTGAGAGCTCATTGTCCCACAGGCTATTCCACAGAAAAACTGCTTCCCTGCAAAGTACCCTCCATCATCCATATTTTGTTCATATAAATATAGATTAAATCCATACGCTTGGCAACTCTGAAGCACGCACAGTTTGCGAACACAATGTTGAGCGCAGTCAGCACCTGACAGGGAGGCAGGTAGCTCGATAGCAAATTCTGAGCACAGGAATAAAGTATTCCTGACTCCTCCAGTGACCCGCTTGCTTTCTGAAATGCTAGCATTCACTATTCTTAGCATATTCAACACAATATTAAAGTCATCTGCACCTACTTTTTTTTTTTCCCCCCCTGATAGATATTGCCACAGTAGCTTCAGGTAGGGCTTCGGTATAAAAAGGTTTATCTCAAGAGAATATACACAGAGATGCCCTGGATGTCACAGGAGACTTCAGCCAAACTATTTGGTCACTAAATCTCTCTCTTTTCAGGTCAGGCATACAAATCCTCTCATAGTGCTTCTTCATGACTTGCCCATGTGCTTCCATGGCATCTCCTTAGCTGCTGTTCATTCAATCAAGCAACCGCAGATGATGTCCAATTTCTTGTGTTTGGATTCAACTCTTCAAGGACCCTCTAAGAGTGGGTCTTCAACCCTCTAAAACCAGAGCTCAGATTTGCTGGGCTTGTATGTAACTTTTGTTTGGCTGATGGCCTCAGTTCTTTCCAGTCCTTTTATGCTGTTCCCTGCCTTCCCGCTCCGAGAGGGCCAGGTGTACCTCTGAGGGATATTTCAGCCCAGCCAGCTGCACTGCAGTGAGTCCTTCCAGGTGACTGCTCAGGTTTGATGAAATATTCCCCTCCAAACTGGAGGCAAAGCAGGTTAAGGCAATTCTTTTATCACAGTTCACTAAACGTTTCCCATTTTTAACCAACGTGAACTATTGTAACCCTTCAGATTTCTAGTTTAAGCAACACCCCAGTTTTGCAACCTTTTTCACTTATGATTCATATCATATTTTCCAGAAGTATTTCCTGCTCTTCTTCAAAAATTCAGTTTGTTTCAACTGCAGTCAAAGCCATTGCCTGCATTGTTACAGCAAATGCTTATTGTGTGGTATATACAATTGTGTGTATCCCACATTACAAGACTGGGGTCTAGTATTTGACAAACTCCTGTTAATAAGCATGAGCACAGCACAGAATATTCAGGTAGAAGAAAAAAAAAAAGCTGGAAGCTGATTAAAAGTATTTCAAAACTGATTCTGAAGTACGATATCATGAGTTCTCTGGCCCCTATCCAGACTGTCATTTGAGAAGAAATCCCAGTCTAGTTCTTTCCTACCTTTTTTTGTCTGCAAAACCCAAAATAATCTGCAATATGCCTGTGAAAAGGAAAGTGCATTTGCATGCATACTGGATTCAGTTCCTTACCAGATACGTCTTTTCTTGGCTGGGCAAATATATTTCCTCTTGTAAATGTAAGGACTCTGCCTCCTTGTACAGAGTTTTGTTTGAAACCACCCAAGAACAGCTCACATAAATAGTGCACAAGTAAGCACAATGGGCTCAACATCCTATAAGCAAAACTCTTTACTCTGCTAAGCTGAAGTTTTCCAGTTTTTGGCAGAAAGATCATTTTAGAACTCCAATAAATGTACATTCAAGTCATAAGGCTTTTCTCAGCTAAAGATTTACATGGGCCTCCTTCGTATCAGCCACAAAAGTATTTTAAGAGTTTGGAAATTCTAGAAGCTTTCCTCCTGCCTTACTCAGCCACTCAAGCTTGATCCTCATTAAATCCCCTGACATGTAATATATTCCAGTGTACAAGAAGCCCTTCATTACTTCTCCATGCTTAGAAGGTAATAAACCCATTTCAAAGGATGGAAGTAGGAACCATTGCAGGTGTTTCCTTACCACTCCACGCTGAGCCAGGAAGGCCGCGCTACGGCGGTTTGAATGAGTCAACGGTATGCGCCAGTACCGACTTGAGAAAAAGCGTTTTTCGATTCCAGTTAGGAGGGTTTCTGCTCTTGCAGAAGGCTTAGGAAGGCATCTATCTGAAATGCAGGATGGGCGCCGGAGATACTAATCCCATTTCTAACTCAGTTACCAACTTTTGTCACCGTGGACTTAGCAGGTGACTGCACATCTGCCGAGCTGGGCTAAGGGCCGTGAATGCACTCTGAAGACTACAACTGAGCCGACAGTTTCTTACACAGCCTTTGCTTCTCCACTTGTGAAATGGAGATAATGAATTAAAACAGCACATTGTCAGGCTCATTTTATTTAATAAATGCGGACCTCTGAGATCTCAGGTGAAAGCCATGCCCCAAAAGCTATTTTCCTACCATAATTTAAACAGGAACTATTTTTAATTTCCAAGATTCAGAACAGATGTATATCAGACTCAGCTCAGTACCGGGAACATTTCTGAAATACATTTACAGAATGCGTGTGCAGGACTACAAATTTCTCTGACACCTTAAACTTCACTGTTGTTTTTAATGTATTTTACAATGAAGCATCAGTATTTTGACTCAGGAAAGTGGCCATGTTTGTGAGCATGTGTATTGCAATATTGGGAGCACTAACATTTTTCCAGTAAGACATCCAGGTTGCTTTAAAATGGGGCTAGATTCTTGGATAATTATGCACTCATGGACAAAGTAAACGTGCATTTGGACCCTTCCCTTTAGGCACTGAAGAGACTCCAAGGATTCCTGTTTTTCTTTGGTCGTGGCCCTTTCTTACCTGTGTAATTAGGAGGGCAGAGACAGACGTAGTTGTTGATCCCATCCACGCATGTAGAGTTATTCTCACAGTCGTTATCTTCGCAGTCATCTGGGTTTATTTCACACCTCTCCCCCTCATACCCAAGGATGCAAGAACAGCTTTGGAGAAAGAAATTAATAAAAGTTAGCATGGATCTGAAGGGGCAGGAGGTTTGAGGTATAAAACTGAAAATAAAACATGTCAACATGAGTTGCTGGAGGGAAATACACTGCTGTTGTGAAGTACCGGACACTTCAACGCTACGTGTTTGGTGAAGGACGCAGTCTGATGGTTATGGGGTCATGTCATTGTTTACATGAGACATAAAAGCATCAGCAGGAGACAGCCTCTGTTCTGCTTCCCTTTGCTTGCTTTGTTGATAACCCTAGCCCTGAATTGAGGTAAGGAACTCCAGGGCAGGAGACTAGACACTCATCACAACATTCAATATTCAAATCCTTGGCTTCTCTGTTAATTATTTTGCGAGTATGTGGATACTTGCCTACTGAGGACTGCACAATCATGAGGGCAACTTGGCAGCTTTTAGGCAGCTCTTCTTTAAAGAACAACAGCTTGAATTGAGTTTACAGGCATGAACATTTTCTTCTCATTACCACTTTGTCACTTGTCCAAACAAGAAATGTTTGGGAATGATTGCTTTTACAAGTGCAGTAAGGTTTCAGTACTTCTACAGCTCCTCCAACATCTATTTGTAGAAGAGCTGACGATGTCTAGATAATTCAACTAAAACACAAACAAACAATGGCAGAGCTAGGAATGGTTCTGTGAGGATGTGGACACTACTGAAGAATAATTGCACTAAATATTTTATCTCACAAGACTGTGATGTGTGGTCCCTAGAGGGAGTGTAAGAAACTAAGTGGTTGAAGAATGACTTTAATTTTTTTTCAATCTCAGTTTTCTCTCTTGAAGTTACGGTTGCTAAGAGAACCTTTATATTTTAAACTAGCTGTAAGTGATGAAGAGGTGGAGGCCACAGTTTCCTAAAGGAGAGTCTAAAAACATGTGTTAAGTGCTCCAGTCATTTCAGTGCCTTCTAAGAAGCCAGCAATGAGATCTGAAGTGTTTGAACAGTATTGCTGTTCACTAGTCACAGAAAGCGTGTGTGTGGAAGGGAAGTCGTGTTGTTTCGAGTTCCAGTCCAAACTACACATTCACTCAGCTGTTCATTTCCTTTCCCATGCAAGTTCTGGTGGCAACAAAGGAACTGAACCAATGTAAAGCACTACTGATTGATGAGGATGAAAACCAGAAAGCACCAGAGCAGTCACACTAATTGCCATCCACTGCTTCCTGAAACCAGGAGAATTTCCAGTGCAGAGATAGCTGCAGGCTGCTTTGTTTCAGCTCAGATGGACAAAGTGGACGTGGGGTGGTTATCCTGCTGCATGTAGGTGTCACGGGGCTGAGATGGGGAGTGCCCTGGAGAAAGAGGAGATCTTCAGAATCTGTGAAGAAAACTGCAGCACTTTTGGGCTGGTTGCTCCCAGCATGACATTTGCTTCTCATGCTTCTGGGTGCCACAGGCTGAGCAGCGTGCAGGGACTCCCAAGGGAGGGATGGCACAGAGCATCCACCTTCAGTATGCCCTAGGTCAGATCCTGAGGATAAAGTTAGATTTTCATGACATGGGCAACTTCAGAAGCTAAGGGAACAGCAAAGAGGAAGAAAAAAGGGTAGGGAATGTGTCTCGAGCCACCACAACAGTAAAATCTTCTAGATGGGTACAGAATGGGCATATAGATCACATGCCAACAGCCATCTTCATTTGTTTCTGCAGGGACCATTCACAGGTCGTGAGAGTCAGAAAACCTTCACCATGAATAACCAAAACCAAACCGCTCAAATAAATCCAATTTAGGACACAATAAATCAATAAGAAATATTTTCTTTTCCTGTCTCAAGCTCATTATTGCTAATAAAATCTGTCCTCTTGCTGACCCTGCAATGATCCAGAGGATCACAGGAGGCAGATAAGAAAGAAGAGCTGGCACACCATCTTTTGTGGCAATGCAAGTGTCAGGGAGGGGGTTAAAGACATCTAATTAAATACAGTGGCACATTCATCATGTCTCCCTTTTCGATTACAAACCCCCATTTTCAGGGGTTTATAACTCAGCCATAAAAATATGCTCCAGGCTGCAACTCGGCATCCAAGGTCTCAGTTTGGGAGCACAAATTTTTCTCTCCATTTAAAGAAAAGCAACAAGAGTGGCTTTGTGCTGGTTATTTTTATGTGAATATAACACCATTTTCCTTCCACAAAAGGACTGGGACAGCTTGGATGTATGCAATTAAAAATGACATTATTAAATACTATCACAGTAATGGTTCAACTCAGTAGAGTTACCATGAGTAACAATACATATGGGATTGTTAATATACAATTGCTCAGTATTAGGACACATTCCATCCTGAAGGGAATGTCAGCATAATTGATGACATTTGGCTACTGGTCCCTATGTATTATAGGGAGCCTTTACATTATTGCTTACGTATGAGTCTTTATTTTGATTTGCGTTCAAATGTGCCAAATATGAGGACCAAAATTAAATGATAAAACATACAATTTGGGACCTGGATTGAACCATATGGTGAAAGAGTTGCAGTTTGGGACTGTTTGTATGTATTTTCCCAGAAAAAGCTTAGAAGAAAAATGAAGTCTGCAGAGTGACTGGAAGGTCATCAAACTTGGGCTCCAGCTGACCAAGAGAGAAAATTAATTCCAGAGACAACGATGAAAACGTTGTACTGACTAAATAGTGAAGCATTTAGTGAGACAGCATTTCATTTGGAACTTGGAAACAAAGGAGCCATGCAGGAAAGAACTATTTTCTAAGACGCTGTAATTGCATAAAGGTCCAAATTCCCTATTCCTCCAGTTCAGGGACTTTCTGTTAGTGTTGTGCTTTCCTTAAAAATAAAGAACTTAATAAAACTCCAAACCATCATTAGCCTCATGAAGGTGCAAGGGAACACAGAACTTAATGACAACATTTTGTGGGTAAACTTTTGGAGCTGAAGCATACTGACAATCTTGTAAGTTTACTATATTCAAAATTATTTTTTCTTCCCAAACTCTAATGGAACACTTCAGCATCTGTTTATTAACATAGGCATACATACAGTGTATCACGTTTCAAAAAAAAAAATCAACTTTTAAATAGAGATGGTAAATTCTTTCAGGAGTATTACAGTTTCTTGGTAAAGTAGGTTTTTACATCCACATCCCAGTGGAGTAGCCTGCAAGTCTGAAAGTGCAACATTTTTCCTTGAACTAGGCAGAATTAACACTAGGGAGTTAATGAGTTCCAGGATTTTACATTTATGAGGGAACTTAAAGTTTGTGGAAAATGCTAAAGAAAACGCTCCGGAAAATGGAGGGGGTTTTATACGGGGAAAAGTTAAAATAACCCAGAGACTCTGTTTCCCAACACCGTAGGTTATCAAGGATCAGCTGGTTGCCTGTGGCTAACTGAAGCAGAGCTGACAGCTCTGCCGCCTCTGTCAAAGCCTCACTTACAGGCACGCTAAACGACCAGGACATGTCTGATTGACCACCTTAATTTATCCGTCTCAATAAGCACCTGTTTTGGCAACCTTTTGTCAAAGACGACATAGATTAGATTAGATTAGAATGTTCAAAGGGAGGAAGAGCTTAATGTTTCTAATCCCCTAAACCACACGATGCCACTTAACTATTCTTTAGTACAGAAGTTGTCCCTACCTGAAAAAAACAGAACGTGAAAATTACTCAGAATTGAAAGGGTGCAAGAATAAAAGATGCCCAGAAGGACTGAAGAACTCCAGCTGAACCTCTGCCCTTCGGCTGCCCCACCAGGACCTGCTATTACAACAAATCTGAGCGGCTCAGTCCCCCGCGGCTGCGAGCCCTTGCGGGTACCAGGCACAGCGGGCGAGTCAGGCTGGAATCTCAGTCATAACTATGAATTTCCTGTCTTTGCCTGGGGAACATCACCACCTCAGCATTATTTAAAAGGTAATTTTCTTGTCTAAGGCTACAGAAACTTGAGAGTTAAACTGCTTGGCATTTCATAGGGAGAGAGCTTTGGCTTAAGTTTCCTTTTTACAAGAGTAAAGATTTGACAAGTTTGGCAGCAGAGCTTGTGTATGAATATATTTCCCTAGGGAAGAGAAAATACAGAAGATATAATTTCTTTTACAGGCCACACAACAGAAAAATCCAAGGAGGCCTCTCTTGAAAATGTTTTTGACATCCACTTCCTCACAGCATATAATCTAAGGCAACGTTTTCCCATCTTGATGAACATAGTTTATATGCACGTAACTCTTACTGCTGCCATCCACTGGAGAGGAGATTTCCCACCAAAAAAAACCCCCAAACCAACCAAATCCAATCTCAAAAAGTTTCTTTATCTTCCCCTTACTGACTGTTCCATCCCCACACCACATTTCTCTAAGACGTGCTAAGGCCCCACGCTCTCGTGACACAGAGCAGCTAGGGCTACGGACTGACTGCATTAAAAAATATGGAGAGAAAACAGAACAATGCAGAAGCTGAACATTCAGTTTTATGAAGCAAGATCTTGACGAGATATGGTTTTATGTGTTTTTTATTAGACCAACTTGAAACTATATAAATAACTACAAAAGCAGAAATCTTCCCTAAAAAGCCTCAAATGTTGTTAAGCAACAAAACCACCCTTGCAGTTTTTTAACGGATCATTTGGAACTGAAGCAAAGCCTCTGAAATTGTAAAATCCTTCACGAGAAAAATTCAGAAGTAGCTTTCATTTCAGGTCATTCAAAACTTTTTACTTTCTACCACAGAACAAAACTAAAATGCTAAAGAAAAACACCATCCAAAATATAAGCTAAAGCCTTTCATTCCAGTATTGTGGATATTATAAAATATTTTACTAGCATTTTTAATATCAGCTAGATTTTTGAGAAATTAGTACTGAGTGACAGAAAACAGATATTCTAATATGGTACAGTTTTGCTCTGGCACAAGCTGGAAAAAGCTACGTAAACAGTGTTATATGAGGGTGACCAGAAGGCAACCCAAGCCGAAGACCACCCGACCTTTATGTCTCTCAAGCAGAAACTGAACCTGAACTTCTACTCAGCAAATTGCTGGGTCTCTCAAATCTGAATTAAGAAGAGGTATATCAGAGCACAAGTGTGGAGCAGCGGTTTCACCAAAATCTAGAGGGTCCTGTCAAGCAGCATGACCATTTGGACGTGCTGTGATCTGCAGAGCCTCCTCATCCTCTCCCACCACCACGCACCAGGAGATGCTCTCTTCTGCTCTGCTGAGGGCCTCAGAGGTGCTCAAGCCGAGCTCTAAACTGCCCCTCATGGAGACGTGGCCACGTGTTTCACTCCTGCTCTCCCACGCTGGAAAGCCTCAGGTTATTTGTAACAGAGCCTGACAGCGTCCCTTCATCCCCATCAACCTGCGCTGTTCCGCTGAAGTACCATCACCGCCCTCCCGTGCCCAGCACGCGCTGGACCGGTTCCTGTAAGGGGCAGTTCTCGAGGGTGGGCAGACACAGAGACAGAGGGAAGCTCTGCTTCCCCACTCGTCCCACCCGCAGGTCAAAAAGGAAGCTCTTCTGTGCCTCATTCCCACATGAAGGATTTGGGGAGTCAAAAAGAAGCCACGATGCTTTGCTGGAAATATAAAAGGCACCTTAGCATTGGTAGGGGAACGGGGGGGTGGGTGCTGTGCCCCTACTGCACCTAAAGTCCTGTCAGTCACCCAGACTTTCACCCGGCCCTTTCTATTTTGAAAAAAATCCTATTTTCTGACATAAAATGACATGGGTTTGCTGACTTGGTTAACAAACAGTTAACCTCAGTTGGAAAAATCTTAATCACAGCTGAAACCAAACTGGAATCAAGCTGCAAAAATGTACTGGTTCAACTCCTTGCTTACACCATCTATAAACCTTGCAATTCCGTGTCTCCCTCCCGCTGTCACTGACAGGAAGCTATACATAGGCGAAGACAAAGCAGCAGCCTCAGTAATGTATAAAACCTTTTAGAAGTGAGGCTTTCATATATGTAATTGAAACAACAGCATGGTGTACTTTTGTGCGTATTTTGTGCAAGAAATAGCACAAATACTGAGGATCAAATCTATGAAAATTTCAGCAACTCTTTACTAAAAAAAAAAAAAAAAAAAAAGTCTATCAAGTTTAATGACAACTAGTGGCCAAAGCCTGAAACTTGTATTTTCTTAGCTGTAAAGTAGTGCCTATAGCAGCACAAATCTTCGGGTTACGTCACGAAAATTTCCGGACTTCTCTTGGAATATCCCCACCTATGCTACATCTTTCTTATACGGGAAAACAGAAATCCGTAATGTCCAGCTGTAAAGGTTATTCTCTCGCAGGCATGATGCCCAAGATGTGGCAATCTCTCCATGTTTTTTAATTGTTTCTTTAAAGCCTGTTTGTCTACAAGATTCTTCAGTACGAAAACATTTTGCATCTGGTTGTCAAGCAACAGATGCTTACCCTCCAAATACAAAAAAGAGTATATGTGAGTTTGAAATGCCCCAAGGAAAATTAGCATACAGATAACACAATGCAGATCAGGGAGACTGCTCAAAATAGCTCTTAAAAGTATATTCCATTATGAGAAAATAAGGAGGCCTTTTTCAGAGGAAACAATATGTCACCAATGAAACCAGACTAATTTTTTTTTTGTATGGCAGATAGAACTGTCACATGCAGCAGCTTTTATAAAGTAGCCAGTAGAGTTCATTAGTGCAAAGTGGAAACACAATTTTATAATCTCATTTTGAATGAACTTTGTGTTACTACCTGAATCCATCTTTATTTGCCTCGGTGAGGTGGCAGGTCCCTCCATTCTGACATGGGTTTTGAATGCAAGAATTAATGGGCACACTGCAGTCTCGACCCTATTTGGGAAAATTCAAAAGAAACAAGGTTAGTAAGACTCATGTCATCTGAATCAATATCTGTGGTCTTCAGACCCATCACATCACCTAACGTTCTTAATCGATGGACAGATATATTCATCACTCAAATGAGAATTTGGGTAGGGCAACTGTTCGGACCAATGGGACTGGTATGTATCTTGGTATCATTTTCAGTTTCAAGACTTTAGTTAACACTTTCATTTGACTGTTTTAAGGAAACAGCTGGTTCCATCATTACTCTAACACACTTTAATCTCTAATGTTAGTTACAACGAAAAGAATTAATCGTGACCAAAGGTAAGCAGAAGGTCACACACAGTCACCACAAGACCACATAGAGTCAGCATTCATTCAACTGCGTTTACCAAGTGCTCAGTTCAACACTGCAACACTACACCATACTCATTACTACGCATTGTCAAAACCCAAAGGGGCAAATTCATTTTTGTCGTGGGAGCTGAATTTGAATTTCTCTACAGAATACGCTGAACCCCGTTTGAGATATCATGACTGAATTTGTTCCCTTCTTAAAGATTGCCCTAAAATATACATCAGTTCCAACTGAACTTCACCAGCTTGCACAACCTCCACTGTTACCAACTGACTTTTTATCGGCTCTTCAAGACACAGACATATTTCTCTGATCATTATATTCTGCTGATTAGAACGAGCTATTTGTAAAATTGGCAAATACAAAGAGTTTGGTCTTGCTTTTCAGTTACTCACACAGTAAGGTGGAATAAAGACACCTGAAAGCCTCAATACACAAGGGATCTGTGAAATCACTAGACGTTCAAGAGATCTCTCTACTCTTCCTAATGAAGATCCTGTTAGCAGTGGCCCTCTGCCAGCTCATCTACTGGAAAGGTGACACATGACTGCAATCAAGATGAGAAAAATATCTCAGGAGATATATTAATTCAGTCAAGGTTGCTGGGGGTTTTTTTTGCCTTGGTTTAAAACTCATTATTTACATTGTCCGTTAGAGGAGTAACAATGGTCTATCTATTTGTAAGTCTCTAAACAAAGAAGGCAGATGCCAGCCCGTGACATCAGTTCTTAACAGCTGTTAACTCTTGTGTATTAGTATGGGACACTACCCTGCCGCTGCCAACTTTCCTTGCTGCCAACACTCATCAGAAGTCATTCCTTTCTCCTTTCTCCACCAAATTTGCAACAGCTTCTGACCCTTTTCAGACTTTACATACCTGGTGTGATGTACTGAAGTAGGGGACACTCCAATAGCTTCCATAGTCTCATTTTTTTTACGATGGCTGTGTTGTCAAAATGAAGCATCTTGATGCACATCACGGCATCAACTGCTAGTTGTTTTTCCACCTAGCTTTGAGACTTCGTTGTTCTCACTTAAGATATACTATCACATTAGAATTAAGAATGGACTTTGAGAAACCTAACACTGTACTTGGCAGATACCTAACAATGATCTGCTGGCCTCAGGATGAATACAGTGGGATTAGAAAAGGCATAGTAAAGGACGACTAAAACGTTCGAGGAGATGGAGCAATTACTTTAAAAGAGGATACTATAAAGACTGATATGACTGAGACTTACAAAATCATGGAGGTGGTGAATGCAGAATTTGTCACACCCTAATTCCCTCAGCGGTAGAGGGACACTTACTGATGTTAGTTTAATACAGATGAAAGAAAATACTTCTATAGTATGAGCTTCTGGGATGTTTTTGCCACAAGAGGTTGTGAAGTCACATAGTATAAAAGCCGTTAGACAAATTCATGGACAATAGATCCAAACCAGATATGAAAGGCAATAGGCAGCCATCAGGATCCCTAGCTGGATGATGGTAGGTGCTGGGAGAACTGGAGAGGAGTGGTGGCCAGACTTGTGTCTCTCCTCAAACGGTAAAGATTCGTTGCTGCAGTAAATACACTACATTTACTACCCGTTATGGCATTTCTTTTGTTCTTACGTCAAAGTTGTTTGAAAGGCTTTTCTCAACAAAAAAACCCCATTCCCTACCTTTTTTTCAAAAGAACCTAGCTGCTTCCTGAACCAAGCTTACATGGTTTTGTGCATCGTAAGGGAACAGATCTTTAAGGAATACTACACCAGGATGGGTTAGATCAGTTTGTCTGTGGCCGCATGTCTGTTTGGAAAATGTCATTCTTGAGCAAAGAACAAATAGGCTGGTAACACCTTTCTAACCCTTGTTCATCATTGACCACCTCTCTCACATCCTACGTTGATCAGAAGTTCATGCTCAGCTCTTGACTGGTGTGCCCATTTCCAGCAATGTGCCCAGTGCAGAGGTGGCAAGCCAGCAGGACAGGAACTGTGCTGGTTCTGTGACAGCTCAAGCTTTAAGTACTACATAAATAACAGCAGCAATCTTAATTTGTCTCTGGAGTGCTCATCTTGAAGTTGGTGCAGCCTCAATTAAGCCTAATCAAGGCATTAAACAAACAAAACCAGCCCACAAGTGTGAACTTTTGGAGAATTTCGTTTGGAACACCTCTAAGATCAGAGAGTTAATGGGACACCTCTCCCGTGAGGACAGGCTGAGAGAGCTTGGGGTGTTCAGCCCAGACAAGAGAAGCCTCCGGGGAGACCTTATTGCAGCCTGCCAGGACTTAAAGGGGGCTTAGAAGAAAGATGGGGACAGACTTTTTAGCAGGGCCTGTAGCGACAGGACAAGGGGTAACGGTTTTAAACTAAAAGGGGGCAGATTTTGACTGGATAGAAGGAAGAAATTTTTCATGATGAAGGTGTCGAAACACCAGCACAGTTTGCCCAGAGAGGTGGGAGATGCCCCATCCCTGGACACATTCAAGGCCAGGTTGGTCGGGGCTCTGAGCAACCTGCTCTAGTTGAAGATGTCCCTGCTCACTGCAGGGGGGTTGGACTAGATGGCCTTTAGAGGTCCCTTCCAACCCAAAGATTCTATGATTTAATCTGGTCTCTCTACTCATGGCGCTAGGCTCTCCCGTTCACACGGCATACAGTTCAGTCCTCCAAACACTACGGAAATCTTTAGTATTTTGTCGGGTAGGGCAATACTGCCTTCGTACTGTGAGAACTCAGACACCCAGTAAGTACACTTTGCTTACACAACACCGCAGAGAAGCTTTGTCCCCGAAATGGTGTTTCTTGAGGCTCCATCCCTCGCATTCCCCAGAGAGAGGAGAAGCAGCTTTGCTTTTTAAAATCTGTGCAAATACAAGGAAACAGGGACAACCTTTTCCTGGGCTGAATCAGAAGCAAAACACTTCCAAAGAACAACAGAAAGACCTGGCCAACCCCCTGCCTCACTGTGAGTTCATTCCCCGACACAGCAGTGCAGGCGGCGTGCGAAGACCTCACCCAAGACCTGGCAGAGAGGGTTGCTGCTTCATCCATGCTGCATTTGCCAAACAGCCTGCTCTTCTCCATTTGAGATCCCGAGCCCCCACGTGTCTCAGGGAAGAATTAGGAAAGCGCCGAGGGAAGCTCATGCAGGTTTTATTTGGGCACCATGTGGTCTGCAGCGCTTCACGGATGCGAGCCGCGCAGCATTAACACTAATCCGCTGCCGCCCTCCTGCAACATTGCCTGTGTTTCGTCCATCTGTGTTGTGAATCCTGTGTGTTTACCACCTTATCCTAGTGAGGCTGGAAGATGCCATTTTTTATATTTCTAAGATCACAAATACTTTTGCGGCGTCCCTGAAGAATTGACTGTTGTATAGATACTTCACTAACATCAGTTACTTCTGTTTCATATGAGCTCTTCACCTCCGTATAACTAAAATACCAAACCCTCTGCAGCTAAGCATAGCAAGAAGCAAAGCAAGAAACCACAGCTCCTGTTTTTCCGAAGGTTTTTGTCACAGCTGAACACCGTGTAAAACAGTCCCATCACTTCTACTGTAATTACTCAGATTATTTTGAACGTTCTTGTAAAAATTTAATAAAGATAAATGTAAAAATGAGAGCAAGGCATTTTCAGTCTCTCTCGTTGGCACATGAAATTTCTCATGACTTAGACTCGGCTCCCATTTCTGTACTGAACGTGGCTGAATTATTGGCTTCTTGGGCCTCAGGCACCATGGAAACTAATTAGTATGTGCTGCTGAATCAGACTTAATTACAACACTAAGTTGCTATGTGGCTTTAGGAAAATAAAAGCCTCTCTGACTCAGTTTACTCATTGTAATAAATGGGCAAACAGCACTTAATCCTTCTCTGAGGATTATCTTCTCTTGAGTTGACTTTATCAATAGCACATTGAGAGCCGACAAAATAAGTACAATTTCTCTAACAGAAAAGACTAGGAAACAAAGAATTCTGAGAGAAGCTGCAGAAAATATTGGTACTGATAAATCTACAGCAAAGCAAGGCCATTTTATTTCTGTATAAGACTGTCATAACCCAGAAGAGCCTAAAGACATTCTAGAAGCATCTTTCAAATGAATAATGCAATTCTCTAGTCTCAATTTACAGCAAGACTGTTCTTACTGGAGAAATGGAATCGCTGTCAAGCATCACTAAAATCAATTTATCTGTGAGTTGGGAAAAACTCTTTGAATTACACTACCTGGAAAAAACTATTGTTACAAAGGAGAATATTGTATATTTGCCTCAAGACTAAAGAGACTTTTAATGAAGTCCGAATCAGAAAAAGAGGTGCAGACTTTGTTTCAAGGACAGGCAAGAAGATATGACTGTCTCAGCAATCCACAGAAAGAGGATGAAGGTCCCTCTGTGTGCAATATTTTATTTCTAGAGCTTTTTTAAGCTGCAATAGATTTTTGTCTAGTCTAGGAAAGCATCAGATCCAAAATACTTTTATATAATTTCTCTCATTTTCTGTAGGAGAGGAAAGGATTAGGTGTTGAAACATAAAATTTCTGCAACTAATCAGAAGACATATATGTTCAGCGTCCAGCTGCCTTTCTAAATCTGAAATACCTCAGCTGGTCCAGATTTTATCTGAGCTGCTCCAGCTCCCTATTTCAGTGAATG